GGTTGGTGGGGATGGGAAATAGGGTGAAAAAGGTTGAAAAAGAGTTTTGGAAAATATTTTTCCTTCTTTTGATAGAGAAAATATTTTTCTCCAATTAGAGAAAAATGATCCAAAACATTTAAGCCAACCAAACATGGGAAAATTGGACTTCATACCAAACACACCCTAAATAAGCTTTGCACAAATATACTCGTGCACATAGAGAGAGAAAAATACCATTTAAGAAACTTAATATTTTGAGGGTCTAACTTTTACACCTAAACTTTCAACAGCTACTGAACAAAGGGAGTTTTCACTTGCAATATGTCTCCTCCTTGTACTAATATAAATTTCTCTCTCTAGCTTTGCTCTCGGTGCAGGTTGTGCTAACCTGCACCGATTCGTGGTCGCCATGGCTAGGAAGAGAGGAAGACCATTCAAAAACCAATCGCTCGTCACCGTAGGAAGATCTGTTAGTGCAAGTGTGATTGCAGATACTCTTGAATAAGGAAGTACACAAAAAGTAGTGACTCCGATTGGGAACCTTCCAACTAGGTCACTCGATTTGGGTTCGCAGAATACAAAAGTAACGGCATCGAAGAGGCTTAATTTGAGTCCAAATCAAACGATTGAGTCACCAAATTCAGCAAATTCAGTTAAGAGCATCGCTCGGTCAAATGGGAAACATAGGGCAACGGCTGCAATGGAGGAACCACAGGATAGTCCAATGATTTCATTGGATAAAGGCAAATAGAAAGCTGACCTGCCTACTCCCGCACAGGAAGCTCTACCTGAAGCTCCATGGACAACCTTATTTGCTGAGAATCGAACAGCTGAATATGGTATGGACCTAAACTATATCCGCCTGAAATTGTGGATGGTCAATTTGTGGTTAACCTAGATAAAGTAGAGGTTGAAACTAAAACTGAAAAATGGAGGAAATCACTCATTGTTTATGTGATTGGGGAAAAACCGGGCTATAAATATATGTGTAGATATATTGCACAATATTGAAATGCTGTGGCAGAACCTGAAATTTATCTACACGAAGACAATTATTATATTGTTAGATTTCAGAGTATTAAGGATCTGCAGGACATTCTATATGGAGGCCAATACATCATAAGCAACATACCAATTGTTATCAAATAATGGACTCCTGATTTTGACTTTAAAGCTGAGTTCGTGACGAAAATTCCTCTGTGGGTTAAGTTCCCTAAGCTCCCTATGAACTGCTGGGGGAGTAACTCATTGAGCAGGATGGCAAGCACACTAGGCAGCCCTTTATTTGCTGATAGATGCATCACCAAGCAGACTAGGGTCTCTTATGTTAGAATTCTCATTGAAGTTAATGACACAAAGGAACTGCCCAGTGAAATAACAGTGAATGATCCCTCTGGTAGGCAATTTCAGTAGGCTATTGAATTTGAGTGGAAACCTGCTTTCTGTGACAAGTGCTTAAAATTAGGACATGATTGTGCCAAAGAACCACATGAGGAGAAGGCAGGCCAGTTGCAAAGAAAAAGGAGACTAGGGCTAGTTCCCACATGGAGGCCAACTGGGCAGCTGATACAACACCCTACAACATACCAAAATGATCAACAACCTAGTAATGAGGGGAAAGAGGCTATATAAGGAGAATGGATGCAGGTTAAATCAAAAGGAACCCCACAACTTCATAAACAAGTTGATAATCCAACAGCAAGTGGGAGTAAAAGTCCAGAACAACAAACAAACAACTTAATTTGGCCAAGCCTAGATGTAGTTGTTTCAACAAAGAATGGGTTTCAAGTGCTACATGAAGGAGGACACAGAGAAGAAGTCCATAAACTCCCTGATACAGGAGGGGAGATACAACATGCCCAATAACTTGGATTATCTAGAATATAAGAGGAATAAATAAGAGGTACATCAGAAGGAACTAAAGCTGTACCTCAAAGAAAATCATATAAAAATAGCTGGTCTCCTAGAAACTAGAGCGAAGGAAAACAATGCACCACAGATTGCCAACAAGATTGTTCCTAGTTGGAAGAGGATAAACAACTACAAAGATGCAAGGAATGGAAGAATATGGGTAGTATAGGATGCTAAAGCCTATAACATATATCATCTAGCTAGTGCAAGTCAATTCATTCATTGTATGATAACAATAAGGCAAAATGGAATAGATTGTATGCTTACAGTAGTATATGGTTTTAATACAGCAGAAGAAAGGAAAGCACTGTGGGATCAGTTGAAAGAAATGACACCTATGCTCATTAAACCTTGACTAATCAGTAGGGACTTCAATGCAATCCTACACCCCAAGTGACGGGCTATCTAGAAAATATGTGTCATTAGCTAAGTTAAAAGATTTCTTTGACTGCTACAACACACTGCTGCTAAATGAGATTCCTTGGAAAGGGGAATATTACACTTGGACAAACAAACAAAGAGGAACTGATAGAGTTTGTAGCAGGATTGATAGAGCAATTGCCAATGATGAATGGATGCTTCAATATGGGCACTTGACTGCAATATATGGAGAACCCTTAATATCTGATCACATACCCATTCTCATCCCAATGAGAGAAGCCAGAAGAAAGCTCCTTTTAAATTCTTCAATGTCTGGATAGAACATCCTAGATTCAAGCAAATTGTGAAAACAAAGGGGGCAGAAACAATGCTACAGAGAGAATCAAGAATGTCTGGCTTAAATTGAAAGGCTTGAGGCCTGCACTTAAATAGTTGAACTTAGAAGAGTTCATGGGGATCACATAGAAGATTAGTCAAGCAAGACTAAACTTGAAAAGGATTCAGGAAGAACTGGGGAACACTTACTCTGATGCATTGACTGATCAGGAGAAAAACTATCTGACCCAACTGGAAAAATGGTCTTTGATAGAGGAAAGTGCACTACAACAAAAGTTAAGAGCCACCTGGATCAAATTAGGGGATTCAAATACTAAGTACTTTTCAGCTGTAATAAAAGAGAAGCAACAGAAGAAGCAAATAACTGAGATCAAGTCATTGTTGGGGGTCAATCTTCAGGATCCTGAAGCTATCAAAGAAGAATTTGTTAGCTTCTATAAATCTTTGATGGGAACTATTGCATCAAAACTGCCAGCAACGAATAGATTGGTAATGATAAATGGCCCTTGCCTATCACATACACAAAAACTAGAACTTTGTGCCCCAATTACAAAGGAGGAAATCTATGAAGGATTGAGCTCAATTGGAAATGATAAGGCTCCAGAATTGATGGCTTCAATGCTGTCTTTTTCAAGCAGACATGATCCACTGTTAAGAATGAAGTTTGTGAAGTTGTGCAAGATTTCTTCACCACAAGAACCTTGTATAAAGCTATGAACTGCACTACACTCACTCTGATGCCTAAGGTTCCAGATACAGTCAACGACTATAGGCCCATAGTTTGTTATACCGTGTTATATAAGATTATTACTAAGGTCATCACCAGCAGGTTACAGAAAGTTATGGCCTACATCATCTCAGAGGTTCAGGCATGGCTTATCCCGGGAAGGAAGATAGCAGACAAAATCATTCTGGCACATGAACTTATCAAATCCTATGGTAGAAAGCATATCTCCCCCAGATATATGATAAAGGTAGATCTATAAAAAGTTTATGATTCATTGGAATGGATTTACCGAGAACAAGTTATGGAAGGGCTGAGGTTTCTAGAGAAGTTCATCAAATGGGTAATGAACTGCATCAAAACAGTTAATTACTCTATTCTACTTAATGGAGAATCAATTGTACCATTTAATGTAGCCAAAGGATTGAGACAAGGAGATCCCATGTCTCCTTTTCTCTTTGCCATTGCCATGGAGTACTTGAGCCGACTACTTAAAGACCTGCAACATGAGAAAAGCTATAAATTTCACCTAAGGTGTAGAAGGCTGGGGATCACTCATATAAGCTTTGCTGACGACCTGTTGTTGTTTTCCAGAAGAGACATTGAATCTGTTCAGAGACTTCATGCATGTTTTACTACATTTTCATCAGCCTCAGGCTTGCAAGCTAACTTAACCAAAAGTGCAGTCTATTGTGGGGGAATGACATAGAGGGAGAAAGAGGCTATAGTTCAACTGTTAGGTTACTCACTAGGTGAACTTCCTTTTAAATACCTAGAGGTGCCTCTAGACACTAAGAAGCTCACCATGGTACAGTGGAAACCTCTCATAGCAAAAATAGTGGCAAAAATCTCTTCACGGACTGCAAAGAAGCTATCATATGTTGGGAGAATTCAACTGACTCAAATAGTGTTATTTGGGATCCAATCTTATTGGAATCAACTCTTCATTTTACCAGCTAAGGTGATACAAATAGTTGAAGCCTAGTGCAGAATCTACCTGTGGTATGGAGGTAATAGAATAACAAAGAAGGCTCTTATTGCTTGGGAGAAGATCTGCCTGCCTAAGTCTACAGAGGGCTTAAATTGCATAATCTCCAGGTATGAAACAATGTTGCAATTGCAAAGACACACTGGGATTTGACTCATAAGCGGGATAAACTTTGGATAAAATGGATCCATGCCTACTACATCAAGGATCAGAGTATGAGAACTATGACCATTCCACAAACCTCCAGTTGGATGGTTAGGAAAATCCTGGGGGCAAGAGATACCATCAGGAAACTGATCAGAACTATTGCTGAACATAAGAGTGTCATTAAAAAATATACTTACAACTGATGCCAGAATACCCAAAGGTAAGATGGAGAAAACTAATGTTCTAGAACCCTGCAAGACCAAAAGCCTTATTCACAATGTGGCTGCAATGCCAGGACAAACTTCTAACTGTGGATAGATTACTGAGTTGGGGCCTTAATGTACAAGCTATGTGTGCACTGTGTCAATCTCACAATGAAACAAGAAACTATTTATTTGCTGAACGCAGATATGCTCAAGCAATTTGGAACAGAGTCAGCAAGTGGGCACAACAACAACTCTATGGTGGCAGTAACTGGGAACTACAATTCCATGAGATTATTAAAAGTATACAAGGGAAGACAACAAAGGCAAAACTTATTAAGATGATATATGCTGAAGTTATATATACCGTATGGAAGGAGAGAAATTCAAGAGTTTTTGAAGGGGTGGACAGAGATTGTGAAGGAGTGGCAAAAGAGATAGCATGTGTTTGTAGCTGCAGGGCTACTGGGGCTCTGAAATATTTAATGCAAAAGCTAGTTTTCTAAGTTTCTTCCTTAATCTATACATAGCACTGCTGTATAGGAAAGGTGGGATCTTTGATTATGTTTTCCTTTTTGAGATTAGCTGGCTGAGTTGTGCTAAGCTAATAATTTATAATTGCTTTGGTGATTAATAAAAAGCCTAATTAATTACCAAAATTTTTTTTACACCTAAATACTGCATCCTCTCCAATTTGTATTATCTTCTTGCTTTTTATGGAGTATTCCTCTCGTTATAACAAATATTAACGAGTTAAATGTAGTAAATTAGAGACAAATTATAACTCTGATCACATAATTATTGTCTAATTCTAGTTTTACTCCTCATGATATCATATTGAGCATTTAACCTTCAATTAATTGAGTAATATGCTTTAATACCTTCATTGACGTTTCACAAACTCATCAGGTTTTCCCCATAAAGTAAGAAGCAAAATACCATTATTACTTTCTCTTAATGTAAAAATATTGCTATCCTCGAAGCTGCCTTGGCTCAAACCTTCTTCTTCCATTGGTGGCTCAACGTCCACCCTAACATAACAATACCCTTTGAAATTAGATCATATGAAGGAGGCTACATTTATGACACCGTTGTTTACCCGTAAAATAATATAGTTGAATTTATAGCGTGAGTTATAAATAAGTGAATCGATTTGATTCAAAAATAGTAAATAAATAATAACAAAAATAAGATTGTGAAATGAAATTAAAGGAAATATGAGCCTGGCTATGAACTTAGCCTTTTCGGTGGCAAAAGTGAGAACAATATTCAAAAATAAAGAATGAGAATAATATTATAAAATGAGCAGAGTATAGCTTTTTTGTGTACATAATATTTCGTGTCTACAATGGATGTTAATTCTCATATTTATAGCTTTATTCAGGGAGACAACACCCCCAATTAAGCTCCTCTTGAATAAGAATAAAACCGTTATTGATGGTTGCATAATGGTTGGTTATAAATGCAGATATTTTCTGTATCGGCCGCTCACTGAATGCTACCCAGTGTCAATACTTTGAACCTTTGTTGTCGGCTACTCTGTCTTCGGGACTCATCCAGCACTGGTCACATGCTGGCAACCAGTATTTACTATTTGTTGACTCACATCCTACATGTCTTCAGCTCGACGTGTCATCTCTTCATTCGTCCAAGTGTCACTAATAAATTTTACCGTATACAGATAGTCCCCCTACTTTTTGGTGACAATACTTTAGTGTCACCGAGAAGTAGAGAAAATATCTTTCCTTAGCGGGCAAGTTTTTGAACAATTCCTGATATTTGAAAGGATGCACGTCTCTTCGTATTTAATAATCCGAACACGTGTTACCCCACGATTTGGCAAATATTTTCGCCAGTTCTCGAGGTAATCATGACACACGATTTTTGCCGTCTATAACTTCTCCACTTCTCCTCATTTTTATTCGTTACTTTTTACAACTTCTTATTCTCTGATTTATCTTGGAACCCTATTGCAAACTTCAACTTTCTCTATTAGAACCAAGTAGGTTGATGTCGAATCTGAACCTCCAACCGTAAACACCATCATACCTCTTTACCTTAGCATGAAATCCGACCTTTAGGAAAAAAAAGAACCTGTAAATTCCAAAAGTGACAGAAGATGGCCTGTTAATAGGTATATTTCTTTCATCCATCCTCCTAACATTCCTGTCATGAAAGAGGATTGTCACTGGGACAATATTTAAATCCTTACACCCAGCAAGGTAGAAATGGTTGCCTTCTTCAAACCAGGGTTCATGTATGTTTATACATACCCCTTCACTTTGGGTCCTTTCACTTTGAGAGTGGGTGAAAGAGTCGACCCGATAATCTTAGAGTTTTGCCACTGGTACCAAATATGTTTGGCACATGTAGGCCCTTTCGTGTGTCGAACGGTGGCTTGCCTCCACCAGTTGTGTTATGAGATCGGGGAAATCTCGACTCTCGCACACATGATGAATCTCTACTCCCCAAAGATCTTCCATGGGGGTGTGCTAAAACTTAGCAAACGCAGTCATCATGCCCTTATCACCAGGTCGATAATGGTAATGACCGTGGATGGATGGAATGGTTTGTTATCATTACTATCAGGGACATCATCCTGACCACATCACCTGCTCTTCCCGAATCATGGAATCTTTTCCGTAAGTCTTCGGATACCCTTTTATTTTCATGTTTAGAAAGACCTTCCTTCGCTACTAACTTTACATTCTCCTTACTCCAGCTACTCACTGGAAGCCTCCACGGGTTCAAGATCTGGCCCAATGGGTACAAAAAATTCTGGATATTACTACACCAGAGTCCCGAAGATGGAAAGAAATGGCTCCCAAATATGGATGGAAAGCCAAAAACCATGGTAAAAAATAATTCTTCTTCCTTTTTTTCAATCTTTCAATATATCTTAGAAGCAATTTAACTGTCTTCTTGTATCACATAGGACTTCTAAAGGGATCCGTCATTTGCCCCGACAGCGAGGTTCCCGATAACCCTGAGGAAGTCGAACAGTTACTGCAGAATGTCCCTAGCCGGAGGAGAGCTCTCGAATCTACTCGAACTTCCGGTAAAGATACCTCCTCCCGGATTCCTCATCCCAACAACAAGAAACAAAAGAGGAAACTTCCCTTCTCGTCTAGGACTCAGGAGAAGAGAATAAAAGAAACACCAACCGGACCGACCACAATGGTCCTTGATGATGAAGAGGGAGCCGATGATAAAGAGGTTCCCTTTCAAAGAAGAAAAAGATTATCATCAGCTCAACTGACAACTCCACTACTAGAGGGAGTTCAGGAACTCTGGGGGAAATGGAAATGGCTGAAAATGCTTCATCTCATTTTCGGATTCCCATAGTTGCTTCTGGTCAAATGAGTTTAATTCTTGGCCTTCCTCCACCACCAACTTTTGAGCCGACAATAATCACCCCTCCATCTTTACCTGATGCTTCTTCTCCAGTGGCCTAGGCTGAACAAATAGAGAGTGCTCCTTTTCCGTGGTCACCCGACCATGGAAATCTGGGAAGTACCTACTCAGCACCCACTCAAGACCCTCATAGAAAACAAAGTGTCATTCTTTCGATTACGAGTGAGTGCCATATGATTTGCAAGCTATGGAGCTTGCCAATTATCTGAAGCCGCTGGCCTGAGAAAAAGATTAGAGAAAAATGGACTCTCTTTCTGGGGATTGTCTAATAAATAATATCATGCATTGCTCGGTGCAGGTAGTAATCTAACTTCCTTCTATCCTATTTCAATTTATACTTTGCAGTAATAACTTTAGTTCTAACCTTTTTAAGCCAACCTTCTTGCTTCCGAGGGCCTGCAAAGGTTGATTCTGTACAAACAAGAGCTTACTTCAGAACGATATCAACTTTTGGCAGAAATGAATCAGCTTGCCAAGCGCCTCCCAGTGCTGGAGGGAAATATTGCTCAAACGGATGACCTTGAGGCCCGGTTGTAGCAGTCCGAACAAGATAGGATGGTCCACAACCAAGAAGCCGCCCAATTACATGAAGACCTTAAAGATGTTAAGGCTAATTGGGCCAAACTTCATGATACTGTAACTGCTGTTGCCGAGCATGAGTCTGGCTTCATGGAGCAAATTAATAACTTGGAGGCTAGCTTACGCTCCAAAACCGAGGAGGCCAACGTTGTCGAGGAGAGGAGAGAAAAAATTAAAGAAAGTCTAAAATGAGTCATGGAGCAGAATCAACTTCACTCGACCACCAACGTTGAGCTTGATCCCAAATCAGCATTGTTAAAGCTGAAAATGAAAAGCTCCAAGCGAAGATTGCAAAACTTCGAGCCAAACTCCAAGATCGGGAGGACTATATCCTCTTAAAGAATACTTACGCCATATATCATACGAAGAGGAAGACTTTGGAGGAATCCAAAGAAGGAATTGCAAACATTGACGAACGCATTGCCAAGGCCCGGGAGTTGGAGACAATCGCTCATGAGAACCTCCCTACACAGCCCGTTGCTTTCGACTCTTCGAATACTAATTCTGAGTATTCAGGAACCTAAGGAAAGACTGAAGAAGATGAAGGCCTCGAACCGGAAGCCGAACAACCTTCTCCTAATAAAGAAAACAAAGACTCTTCTCTCCCTTCGGGTTCTGGAAGCAAGAATTAATGTATATATTTCCCCTTTACTTTTTGTAATTATGTCAAAACTTTATACTAAGTTCAGCATTTTAATCAATAAAAGAAACCTTTTTGCTTAAGTATTGTGCAAAAAATATTCTTTTTCATTTAACCGAAAGCTTCGGAAATCTTTTCACATCCGATAGCTTTTGATTCCGTTCATAAATACTTCCGGAATCTACCCTTTACTATGAGGGTTTCATAAGAGAGGGCCCTTATGTTTATATTGATCTTGAAGAGGACGTCTCCTATTCATTCCGCCACAAGCATTTAAAATTTTTGTTAACTTTCAAACAATAAAATAAGTTATCATTTGGACAAGAAATAAGATAAAAATAAAAGGACTTCGATTTATTCCCTCTATCTTTAAAAGTACATTTACATAAACATTCTTTTGCTTAAGTAAATAGAGCTACCAATACATGTGGCTCACTTGTATAACTTATTTCTACGAGGCTGATCATGCAGTCCCTGATCCCGATAAGACATTGATCCTGGTTCTAATAGTCCCCGATCTTCGTAACACTTTCTTTTATGTATGATTTTCATTGATGTCTCATTAAAATGAGAGTTTTGGGAGATGAGATATGATATCGAGCCGAAGATTATTTAACCATCCACAAGTTGTTTGCCACATGAGCTGATCTACACAAAACTGTTTATGCTCATGCTAAAGTGAAGGCAATAGAACTTATGGTTGTTGATTCACTAGTGAAGGAAAATGATTATCTACAAATTGCGTATCATATAGAGCATTCTTCTCAATATTGGAAGTTAGGTGACACCATTTTGTAAACCTTCGAGACTGCTTTGGACCCAGAATTGAAAGAATCTAATGCCTTGACATGAATCAGTTCCCCCCAGTGTTCG